CTCTTCTATTCTCTCTTCTTTCTCTCACTTTTCTTCTATTTTGTAAACCTAAAACCTATTAGGATTCAAGACTGATTACAGTCTTGATCTTCTACTGTTAATATTGACAAAAATTCTATAGTACAGAAACATGTTTTCTGGTGCCATTATTGCACCTTGAGACGTAAATTTTGCAACTTGAGCTCTAAAATGTTCTACCCCATGTGTTTGCAAATCCAATGTTTTTTATTGGTAAAAATGAATTCATTAATCATTAGTCATAAAAATAAACAATTCAAGCATCCCAAAGGTAGGCGTAAACTGCAGCCTTTCATATCAAACAAGAATAACAAATTACAATTAAGCCCAGTACAGATGGTCCCTATCCATGTCGTATTTGGCTTGTGTATCAGAAAATGCATTAGTTGACCCTCTCATCGAATGTATTCTTAGAGTCATGTTTCTTGTAAACTATTTAAATTTCTTCATTTCATATTTGTAGCACCAAATTACTGACTCTGGTTCTTTCAACCATCCTACCACTAGCTTAGAATCACCTTCAACCAACAAATATCCCATGTTTAACTTATATGCAATCTGAACTCCCTGCAAAACTACCATCAAATCAACCCTTACAGAGTTCTGCACTCCCCATCTGACCCGAAAATAAAGCAATAATGTGCCCTTCCTTATCTCATATAACCCCTCCAGGTCCTAAGGGACCTGGATTGTCGTGACTGCTTCTATCAAAATTTAGTTTCACATATCCTTCTAGATGCATCCACACTGTGGTTGCTCTTTCCTTTCTAAAAGAGCTTCTTTCCACCACAACCCAATTTCTCCGAAGGTCATCAAAGGAGAATAGTGAGGAATCCAATGTATTAGCTCTATTGTCATAAATTCTTTTACCATCTCCCTTTCTAGGTGCATTTATTTCTTGGTAGCATCCAAATCAGAGTTGCTCTAATCTGCACATTGTTCTTCCCCTTTCATAGGCCAGATGAAAGTAGATGGGTCAAACAGAAGGTTTACCTTTGTTGGGAAATTCCACCTGCTCCAAAATAAAGAAAACAACCAATCCCAAATGTTTGCAGTGAACGGACAGGAGATTAGATGGGGATAACAACTCTCACCATTAGATCTACAAAGGATGCACCAATTTGGGGATAAGCACATAAACAATCTTCTTCTTTGCAATTAATCCAAAGTATTCACCTTCTCGTGGCACATTTCCCAACAAAAAGCAGCTACTTTGAGGGGTATCAGACGACACCATACTTCATTGGGATGAAAAACCTGAGGAGAAGCAGGCTGGTAGAGAGAGTTGAAAAAGGAGACACAAGAAAAGAGTATCTTGGCTGAGGAGCTCAAATCCTTATGTCATGACTAGAAGGATCCAAAAAAGTTTTGCCTAGTATTTGCAAAAGATTAACCACAGAAGCAGTCTCATCGTCCCTAAACCCTCTACAACTTTGCAAATCCAATGTTATAATGCTGCATCAATGGTGGAGTGCAAAATTTACAGCTCAGAATGAATTTCATGTCACTAATCCTTTGGTGTTTTTTTTTTCGTTCAAAGTGAAATAAATCTTTGTTTTCGAGTTTTTCAGAACTATATAGTAACTATGCATTTTCTTGTTAACAGACAAATGTGTTGTTTCCACATGCTTCAGATTTTCCTTCTTTCACCGAATTGGAGAAAAAAGCAATTGTATATGCTTTATTTAACCCCAATGGACCATTTGAGTAAGTACATGTAGATACCCATTAATTTTATTATTCTTTGTTATCACATGTAGCTTCAATTATTCCATGTAACTATATCCTTTTATATAGTGAAAATTTGGTAATTCTATGGACGTCTCACCTAACAAGGTCTGAGCTTCTTTGCATGAGGGATGGTAATTGGGTTTCTAGTGCTGTAAGTTGTAATCAAGACAAATTATAGTGATTTACTTTGTATATCTATATAACAATGAGTTAAAATAACAAGCTTTGTTTGTTGTGCAGGTTATGAACTGCGTGATGGATGTACTAGTGCATGAACAGTTAGCTAATGGTTTGGTAAAACGTCATTACTTTCCCTCATATTTTGCGGTAAGTTTTCAATTCTTACATATACTAAATCAGTAAGATGACTTACCATTGTCTTATCTACCAATTTTCCTAATTGTAAATGCAGGAAAAGATTCTAAAAGATGAACCCCCAAGTCTAGAGGAGTTGAAAGCTTTTTATCAAAGTCTACTTAAATATGATCTGTTGCAATGTGAATTGGTATGTCTTGGATAACTCATGCAATAGATAAATTAATTTGAAGTACAACTAACTTTAATATTTTGCAAACAGTTATTCATTCCCCTTTGCGTTGACTCCCACTGGTTCGTATACGTCATAAATCTAAGGGATAAGAGAGTGGAGGTTCTTAACAGCTTACCAATGGATGGATTCACTATAGAGCTGAAGTATCTTCTTAGAATGGTTTGTATTGCAGTAAATATTGTTTTAATTGTTCTTGTCATCATCTATTGCCATGTGCTAATCAAAGGTTGGGTTTAATTTCTAGAAAGAAACTTGTAACGACATACTGAGTAGCTTGAGTGGAAGACCCATGGCAATTACAGAATGGCCTGTGCTACTTCCCGAACTTCCAATTCAAAAATCCGAGTAATTGATTCAATAATTGATGTATTTATTATTAGCTTTGGCATTATTAGTAACTATAATGGATCAGATGCAAGAGGTTAAATGGTGGTTGTTATTTGTAACAGTTGCGATTGTGGTATATTTGTGATATGTTATATGGAGTATTGGGATGGACGGTTAATGAAGTCCTTTGCACAGGTAATTGAAAATAAGCTCCAAATGTTTTCTGTATTTTTTTATCCCTTAATTTATGGAATTTTTTTCTTAACATTTATGTTTGACTTAATATTGTTTAACTTTTTGAAAATATAGGATGATATCCCATACTTCCGCATGAAGGTTTTGGCTGATCTATTGTTGCATCCAGAAAATAAGGTATTTAAAGCAATTAAAAATGATTATAGTCTTCATATATCTCACCATTTTTTTAGAAGAGGTAAAGTATCAATTCATTAAAATAGATAAATAAAGTTCCCATGTACAACCAGGGGCTGTACAATGGAGAAGTACAAAAGCCAGTTTGACCACTATCCCATTTGAAATTACAAAAAGGTTTTCAAACTCAAAATGGGAACTAAAGAAAGAACTGTCTATGGATACTTGTACTGATGACCAGGAAAACTGCTTCCCCACTGTTTTTGAATCACAAAATTGGTTGATTCATGATATATTAAATGGAATTGACTCAGAAAACTGTTGTATATTGAGCCTAAAATTAGGCCACTTTAGATTATGCCATCTCATATCATATTGTTCATTATACTCTATTAATACATGTATGGTATTTCATACCTTCCCAACCTCCCTCTGAGCAACATACCTGGGAGGTTGCTCCATAAACACTTCCTCCTAAAGGTCACCATGGAGGAAGGCATTCTTCACATTCAACTGAAATAACAACTGATCATAGTATGCTGCCAAAGAAATAATAAGACATACAAAGCTCATCTTAGCAACTCGAGATGTGTCAATGTAATCAACACAATAAGTTTGGGTGTAACATTTTGCCACCAACCATGCTTTATACTGCTCCACACTATCATCAAGCCAATGCTTAACTGTGTAAACTCAAGGACAACCTGCCTTGTTTCCAAGAGAGAGGAGTGAGGATCCCAAGTATGATTAGTCTGAAGAGCATGAAATTCGTCATCCATTGCCATCTTCCAATTTGGTGAGACCAGACCTAGGAATAGTCATGGAGGAAACAAGAGACACAAACTTCCGATAGGAATCAAACAGATGAACAAAGGACCCCCAACATTAGAATGGACAAGAACATGGACCCATCTTATGCACATGTTTTGGACAATAACAAAAGGACTTGACACTATTATTTTCTCTAGGAACAAATGACACTCAACTACGCTTGCCAACCTGAAACGGTTCACATTGCAACTCAGTAATAGACGCTAAACTAGGAACTAACTTCTTGAGAGCAGGAAGTGATGGATGGTCCAAACAAAAATTCCACTTGACCATCATCCCCCACTCTAGAACCTTGAAAGATGTTTGTCTCATCAGCTTATTTTAGCAATCCACTAAAAATCTCAGCCACCAACATAATAACAATTGGAGACAATGCATCACCTTGATGAATCCCTCTAGTGGCCTTGAAAATAAAATCCTTAGGTGATCCTTTGATGAGAATAGAAAAACAGGTGGTCCTCAAATAGCCCATGGTCCATTTTATCCTCCACATCCTCATTTGTAATAAGGGTTTGATCTAATATTTGCCAATTTTTCACAAAAGCCCCATGTTCCTTTGAGACTACAAAGTGAAGCACTTACTTCTAGGGGTGATCATTCAATTTATTTGGTCCAAAATTTTCAATACCGAACTAAAAAAATAAAAATCGAAATTGAAACCGAAACCGAATTATAGAAAAACCAAAATTTTTTGTTTGTTTTTTGATTATTTCGGTTAAAACCGATTTTTTTTAATAATATATACTCTATTATATATATTATAACATATAATATATTATAATTATAAAATATATATTATGAAATCAAAATTTTATTTTATTATATATTAATATATGAATATATAATATATTATATATTATATCTTACATATTATATATAATATCTTCTTGAAAAGCAACTAAAATTATAAAAATATTTTTTTGTGTGAGAACTAAGAATTTAAGACCCTAACATGGACTTGTTTGGGCTTGCCTCGAGGGGCGTGGCACATAGCTACTTGAAGGCAGCTCGTAGAATCAAGAATGTAATACGTTCTATATCACATTAGTTACTTGAAGTAATGCAATTGAGGAAAAAAGAGATTTTGGGTTTTACATTATTGAAAATGTTTTATATGTTTGATATTATTTTTAAATTTTCATTTGAATACGCTTTACATGTCATGTTTATGTATTTTAATTTTAGATAATACGTTTTCTAAAACATTTATTTTAAATTTTAAGTTTAGATTTTTTTATTAATATTATGTTTACTTTTTTTTTGGCATTTTTTTGAATTTTCTGACTTTTTTTATTTTTTATCATTGTTTTTGTATTTTTGAGCCTTGCTTCAAAAAGGCATGTGCCTCGCCTTGTGCCTTGGGCACAAATTGGCCCCTACGCCTTGTTTGTGCCTTGCGCTTTAAAACACTGTAGTGCTCACCCCTACTTCAGTCATGTCAACAACACCTTTGCCACTATCTTGTACAAACTACTAGTCAGGCTTATGAGAAATAAGAGAGACAGGTTGCATTCATCCTAGTTCTCTTATTTATTTGTTCTTGTAATGGAGGGTTTTACAAAATTTATCTTGCAAGATAATGAAATAATTAAGTTGATGGGGTTTCAAGTTCAATCGTATGCTCTTAAGATATCTCATTTTCATCTTCTGGATGATGTGTTGTTTTTTATTTATTTATTTATTTTTTTATTTATTTGGAGGGGGGGGGGGCAAAGCTAATGGGGATGGATGAAGTGGCTGGTTTTATTGAAGTTATCAAAAAAAATTCCATGAACTCTCTGGTTTTTCCATAAATTTTTCGAAATTCTGGGATTTGGTTTAGTTGTATTACTCATAAAGGTGCTAAAATGTTGAGAAGGCAAATGAAAATGTCTCAAATAAGGACTGTAAACATTTGAGAGTGCCCATCTTATGGAGGAAACACAAAGCAAAATCTTTGGAGTTTATTTTAGAAAAAGTTGAAAGATAAGCTTAGTGAATGGAAGGCTTCTTCTTTATCTTATGCTCGGAGACAAACTTTGGTTCATTCGGTTTTACAATCTATTCATGTGCATTGTAGGCGTGCTGTTTAGTTTCCTTGGAGAAAATGAAATGGAAAAACCTCAAAGAAAGTTTTGGTTGAAGAATCATTTGAAACAGGCAAGTTGGGAAAAATTATGTTGTCCTAAATAGGTGGCTTGGGTTGTAAGAGAATGGGTCTTGTAAATAAACCTTCAATTTGTAAATTAGTCAATAGGCTTGTTTCTGGAGGGAGTTCTTTGTGGATGCAATTATTACAAAGTAAATATTTAACTAACAATGAAAGAATTCCAAGTTGTGCTGCACCCCTTTGGAAAGCTTAAGCTAAAGCGTTAATGCATTTATTCCCAACAATAAGGTCTAAATTCAACAAATAAAGTCTGGGATGTCCCTTGAATAGCAATCAATAACTCTTTCATGGTTTCTACCGGCTCTCCATCTCATAGGTTTTAGGACTTATAGGTCAAAGATTTAAAATGCCAATCTTCAGCTAGGTGGGATATTCAGAAATTGTCTGAGATTTTTCAGCAGCCTATCTCATAGTTTGAACACTTTTTTTTGGTAACAGAAATGCTGATAGATTTGTTTGGACAAGAGATGTAAATGGTAAGGTTACAATTAAAAATTTTTGTTTGGTTTTGTCACTTGCCATTGAAAGATTCTAATTTGAGTTCGATTAGGAAATTTGGAAGTTGGCTATTCGTTTGTTTCTTTGGAGATTATATCGTGGTTTTTGTTTCTTAATTTTGATTTGTGTGCTAAAAGAATTGTTGATGATGATATTTATCCTATGTGTCAAAGTAGTGTTGAATCTGGACCCAAAAAAAAGTGCTCTTGAATCTGTTATTCTTCTCTTTGTATTTGTCCCTTGTTTGGTTTTGTTTGCAACTCTGTGGTCTATTGCTTTCCAGGAAAGCCAATGTAATACTAGAAAGGATTTTTTTTATTTGGTCTAGAATTCGGGAACAAATAGTCAGGACTTTTAAGAGTCTCTTTTCATGGCTGGCAGTTGTTTTTTTTATGTGGAAAGCTTGAAATGAAAGAATTTTTAACAGTTGATTGGGTGCTTAAGTCGGTTTATAATGTTTTAAATACTTTACAGGGAGGTGACTAATTTTTCAGGTTCCACTAGTAAAGTATGCAATGCAGGTTCAGCTCCCCCATGACCGGATTGTTATATCATTCAATGTGATGGGGGTGTAAGTAATAGAAATAGAGGAACATATGGCTTCTGTTTGTAATCTAACGCAAAAGCTCTTTTAATGGCTGCAGGTGGTAATTAGGGATGGTTAAAATTCCCACTGAAGCAGAATTAGGAGCTATTTTGCAAGCTATTGCTCGGTTTCAGGGTTGGGAATCTTTAATGGTCTTTTTCTGATGCGAAAAATGGTGTCTAATCTTCAGGGAAAAGAATCTTCAATTTTTTGATCTTTTTGTATCTGGCTTGATAAAATATTGTTTTTTATTTAAAACTCTTAACGTCTCTTTTGTATCTTAGTCTAGGTCATACACCAAAGAGCTGCTCATGTGCTGGCCCAGAAGCCAAAATTTATGTAAACATATTTTTTATTAGTTAATGATATTTCAATTATCAAAAAATTATTTCGACTTTGTTGTTATTACCTTCAGCATTCCAATGTTTGACACGAGTTGAAATATAGATCCATCCACTTAGAAGTTAGAATACACACGTTGCAGTAAGAGATTTTCCTGCCCGAGGCTGATCAGCTTGAAGCGAAGGCCTCAAGGCTATTTTTGGTTTTATAGAAGAAAATAAGAGAAACATAAAATAAAGTTGAAGATCTCCCCTCAATTTTGAGTCAAAACCAGCCTAGAAATGGAGATCTGTTTGAATTTCTAGACAGAGAAGAGCTGGGATTATGTACTCGGCTGCAAGAACAAAAGGTTCCCTTGTATTGCTATTTTCCACAAGCAGCATATATTATTCATCTAAAGTTTGTTCAGGAAAAGGGTTTATTAGAAGATTTGACGAGAGCCTACCAGCTCAAATTTGCCCACTTCTAACCAATGCTTTGTAAAAAGAAAATCTTAATGGCCTAACTAGCTAACTGAAACATGATTCACAAAGTATAAGAGGAATGCGATAAACAAGTTTTCCCTTTCTGGTGGCCACTATAAATAATGAAGTTCAAGAGTACTCTCTATAGGGCGTGGTATCTAAAAGTTAAGAGTTGCAATAACTTGTTATTTATTAGAATTTAGAAATAAATCCCTCAACAAACAATCCATTAACCTGAGACCACCATGGCAGGACAAACCCGAGACTCTCAGTTTGGAAGTACAAATACAAATATGTATTTTTATATTTGTACTCCTTCCAAACTGAGCTTTAGTGTCTTTTGAACACGCCAATGTTTTAATCAAACGCCCGATCGATGTGATATTTTGCCTTTTTCACCAAACACTGACATGTTCAACAATCCCCCAGTGGTCTCGGGTTTGTCTTACCATCGCAGTAAACAGGAAACGTAATCTCAAAATAAAAGTTGGTTTGGTTAAAAACTATGAACCTGACCTCAGATGGGTTAGAGTTGAGGCTTTGGGCAACCCGACCCAACAAGTCTCTTAAATATTTATATATAAATGCCATATAATTATGCATGTATGTTTAACATGGATACTTTTAAAGCACCATTACTTTGTTCCTCCAGGGTAAGGTGAAAGTTAATTCTAAGGAAAGTGAACATTTTTTAAAGCAAAAAGGAGTGAAAATTTTGTGTCAGCCCAAACCCAACCTGATGCAATCTTATCAAGTTAGATTTGTATCAGGGTTGGCAGTTCAACGGCTCTGTTTAGGTTAGCATTAACCTCAACCTTTTTTAACCCTGCCCAACTTGTGCCACTTGTGCAATACCAATAATCCGCCAATTAATCCCAGCATGTTTGGTCTCTTGGGGATGACTTGTGGGTGTCTGGTACAGTGATGTTGCTGTTGCGTTTTGGGTTGATTAATACAGATTTGTTAGACATGTATTGTCACATCATATATATGGGTTCTGTTTGAACTGAAACATGCATGTGTTTGAGAAACATCAAATTTGACGTCTTAGGTAAAAATAACAATTTCTATTGACTCAAAAGTATTTTCAAAGATTAACCACTTCCTCACACAAATTTGTATTGATCAAACCCAAAACACAAAAGCAACACAACGTCTCTGTACCAAACAAGCTCACACGGGCGGAGTTAAAGAGGCTGTCCATTGCTCCTTTCTTTGAAAATCTCCTGACAATGAAGTCAGTTCCTCATCAGAACAAGGTAATAAGAAACTCATCACAATGAAATGGAGCAAACAAAATTGCCCCTATAAAAAGGAGGGTTTGGCCACATAATTTCCATTCACCAGTAATCTCTACAAGAGCAAGTTCCGTCCTTGAAATGATGGAACCGATTTCTATCCCGAACCAGGATTGATTGCTCAAAGATCTTAGAAACCATTTTAGTAAACGTATGACAATCATTACACATTCGGAGGTTTTTGACTATTCTTATGGTGGATCCTTGGCTTGTATGTATAAGAGCGAAGGCAAGAGCCAGCTTTTGACTGTGGCCACTAAGCCGTTGCCTTTTCTCCTCTTCATCCACATCAAACAGAACTTGAGAAGTGTCTGGGGAGTAGCCTTCAAACCTCAATTGCCACTCCATCTGGTAAAGCATCTCGTACACAACATCACTCTCGGGGTGTGACCTGTCTTGTGAAACGAACTTGTGTATGTTTCTCCTCACTTCTACCAAGCTAAACCCAGGCATCTGGGTCAAGCCCCTCTGCACCATATTGGTTCGTATCGTAGCGACATCATCCCACCTGTGAGCCTGTGCATACATATTCGACAGAAGCACATAATCACTAGCATTATGTGGGTCTAACTGGAAAAGGTTCCTACTAGCAATCTCTCCTATTTCCAGGTTCTGGTGAACCTTGCAGCCACTAAGGAGGCAGCGCCACACAACATCGTTTGGCTCCATGGGCATGCTCTTGATGAGATCATATGCTTCATGGAGCAACCCTGAGCGAGCCATGAGGTCAACCATGCATCCATAATGTTGAATTGTTGGTGCAATCTGATGATCAGTTCTCATCCTGTTGAAACACTGTAGGCCCTCATCCACGAGCCCTGCATGACTGCATGCACTTAGCACACCCACATAGACGATTGCATCTGGCTCTAGTCCTTCTTTAAGCATGTCTGAGAAGATCCTTAATGCCTCCTTGCCGCGGCCGTGCACGGCGAGCCCTGAGATCATGACAGTGTAGGTCAATTGATTCTTTCTGGGCATCTTGTTGAAGACAGATAAAGCTTTCTCTAGAGAACCACATTTGGCATACATGTCTATCAATGATGTCTCTAATATTACATTGAGCTCAGTCATGTTCCTCAGCAGGAACCCATGAGTGCACCTCCCTAGATCAAGAGCACCCAAATGGGTACATGAGGAGATAACACTAACTAATGTGCTCTCATCAGGCCTCCAACAATCCTCACTGGACATGTCTCCAAACAGCCTCAGGCACTCACCCCACAAGCCCAAGCTAGCATGAGAAGCAATAATAGAACTCCAGGAAGCAACACTCTTTTGATCCATATGCTGAAATACTCTACATGAGAGTTCTATCTGGCCACATTTCCCATACATGTTGATTAAACTGTTCTGCACAAACAAATCAAATTCAAACCCAAACTTGGAAGTATGCCCATGGATTTGCATCCCTTCTTCAAGTGCTGACAACTGAGCACAGGCCTTGAGAAGAAATGGGTAGGTGAAGTTGTCTGGATTGATCCCTCTCTCTTGCATCTCCACATATAAGAGAAGTGCCGTCTGTGGGTCTGCATCCTTTACATGCCCCCTGATCATGGTATTGAATTCAAATGGACCCGGTTCATCGATTTGCCTGAAGATTGAACAGGCATAGTCCATGCTTCCCCAGTTCGATAGAGCGCAGGTCGCGACAAGGCTGCCGGGGAGACGAGGATCTCCATCTAACCCCAGCTTGAGGAATTGAGCGTGGACTTGCTTGAATTCTTCCATGCTTTTGCATTTCTGCAACAGAGAGAAGCATTCTTGCTCCCTTACCCTTAGTTCAGAACTTTGTATCGGATCCTCCTGTGCTATCAAAAGATGGGTCTGCTGAAGGACTGACGTCCCAATCATCCTGTCATCTTCACCATCATGGACCGAACTACAAAGCTAAATCCATTAGAGCACAGAGACAAACAGAGAGAGAGAGAGAGAGAGAGAGAGGTAGAGCTAAGAAAGCCATGGAAGAAATAAATTTAGGTACCCATCACTAAGAACCATTTCTATCGAATTGGAGTTGATATCTCTAAGGAATTAGAGTAGAGCGGAATAGTCGAAATGGACAGAAGAGTAAAGAAAGAATACCCATTGATCCAACTCTGCAAAACCCAGCTGCAAATTTGAACGAAATGGAAGAAGATTTGAGTAATTACTCCTCCAGTCCTCCTTCGACAGTTACTTTCAGCCCATAAATGGCTTCTCATTTCTGAGGCCAAAATTTGTCTGGAGAGAATCATGACTTTGAATCTCGACCATGAGATGGGAAAAGAAAGCCATCCAGGAAAATTCCCGCAGATTATGTGATAAATGGATAAGATAACGTCACCAGTATAAACTATAAACTACTAAATATAACGAAGAGAGACGGAACTCTGGATATGGACTCTGAACTCAGGTGCATAGTAAGAGTTGGGCCCCCATTTTGTCCCTTTTTATATTGTAACATCATCTTAGAATGGCGAAGTTAACGCCAAGGCTCTGATGGGCCTTAGGCTATATAAAGGTCGAATGACCCCAAGCCCAAACCTTTTGGATCCCCTTCATGTTTTTTTATTTTTCATGTAAATAAGATAATGACCGTATCAGTCATAAAAAATCATTATTAAAAGGGGTAATTTTGTGTCATCTAATTGTTGGCAACTTTTTTTGTAGGTGGAAAAGTTGCCTACCTACTTGGGAGAAACTCGTGTTCTTTTTTTTTTATATTTATGTGGGGTGCAAAAAATAATTATTTCCCTGGGTAATCGATACCCATCTTCCAAGTGGGTAAATAACTTTCTCACCTAGGAAGACATTGCAACATTTGGATAGGACATATTTACCCCTTTAATAATAACATTTTATGGTTAAAACAATCAATGTCTTATTTACTTATGAAATAAAAGAACATGGACAAATACACTTGCCCGAATAAAATACATTTACCTGAATAAATATCTATCCATCTTTAAAAATGATCATGGAAATATTGACCTTATATAAGTAGGGGTGAGCATTATTCGGTTAAAACCAAAAAACCAAACTAAAAATTTTGGTTTCGACTTTTACGATTCAGTTTTTTGTTATTTTGGTTTTGAAAAAATTCGGTTTTCAGGTTTAGAAATTCGATTAACCTAAAAAACCGAATTAACCGAACTTTTATTATCTATAATATATATTAACATATAATATGTATAAAATATATTAAATTGTATTATATTATGTATTAAAATATATAATCTATTATATGCATTGCATAACATATATTTTTTAATATATAATATATATAATGTTGAAATTCAGTTCAACCGAAATATATATATATATATATATATATATATATATATATATATATATACATTGCATAACATATATTTTTTCAGTTTCGATTATTTCAATTTGATTTTTCATTTAAAATTTTAATTTTAAAAATTTCAATTTATTAAATTTGATTTTTAACGGAATAAACTATTTGCTCACCCCTATCTATAAGAATTTGGCATTTGAATAATAAGTACAGAGTGGCTACAGATTGATTGATGAAACATTCATGTCTGGTGGAACTAACGTCCATTTTTAGTCGGTCAACAAAGCACAACTTTTCTTTTTCGTCAATAAGAAGGGACGACATTTTTATTTTTTTAGTCGGTCCCGTCAAATGTTGAAATAAATCTATACTTGTTCTACCAAAATCTACATACATTTATTTACTTAGCACAAACCTTTATGGATATGTGCCACATGTGCTAACAAATAATGTCACCTTTTAAAACTTGGTTTGACAGCAAGAGAGAAACAGAAAAAAGTTGAGGAAATTTTGTTAGGTACTTTTACAAATTTTATTAACAACTTTCACTCATTTTACCTTTTTTTCTTTTATTTTATATCAAATCAAACGTTAAGGATATGTTCGGTTTGAGTGAAAAAGTAAGGAATCCCTACCTTTCCCTTTCTTTCCCTACTTTTTCCTTCGAACCAAACACAGCTTAAAGGAAAAGATCAATTTTATAAGAGGAAAAAAGAAAAAGATATTGGTTAATGGTAGCAAGGAAAAAGTCTTTTGGTGATGTTAACGTGAGATTAAGGACCGGCTTCGGATGTTGGGGAACTTCTAACATTTCTGAAACCCTACATAAATGTGGACGTGACAAAAAGAAGGTTAAAGATAATAAATAATGTTGATTTTACAACGAATCAATTTGTCAAATTGATTAAATATGGAATAGTAGAATTACAAAGGAAAGTAAAAACAGTAGTGAGTTGAAAAGCAAGTTTTACAGAGTAACCAAACAAACTTTTCTAATGCACAAAAGTAATTACTCTTGTGCTTAAGAACCATAGAAGCCAATGCATTCTTAAACCATGCTTACTTTTTTTTTCATGAACTTCAAACAACCATCCCATTTGTGGCCAATGTTTTAGAAGGGGCAGTTCAACCAAGATCATCCTCTATCCAATGGAAGTTAGGGTCCATTTGGTTTATAGTCGGAATTGGAATCGAAATCAGAATCACAGTCCTTTGGAATTGGGATTGGAATGATTTATTCATAATTTGTTTGGTTCAAATAGGAATTGAATGGGAATTGAAGTAAGATGGAATGGCTATCCACTCAAATGGGGGAATGCTATTCCACAAGGAATGAGAATGAAATTTCGATTCCATCCAACCAAACAGTTGAAATGGAAACGGCTGGCTCATTTGGATTCAAATCCCATTTAAGACCTTATTCCCACAAACCAAAGTACTTTTACGAAAGCACTTCTAAGAAAGTACCCATACAAAAGCACTTTTGTGAAAGTATTTTTATGGAAGCACTTTTACAAAAATACTTTTATGAAAGCATTTTATAAAAGTAAGTACTTTTACGAAAGCACTTTTTTGAGTATTTTTATGGAAAGCACTTTTGTGAAAGCATTTTATAACACAAAAGTGCTTCATAAAAGTGCTTTCATAAAAGTATTTTCATAAAAGTGTTTTTATAAAATTCAACTAGGGATAATATTATCAGTGGTATTTTAAAATTCAATCAGGGATAATTTTGGAAGAAAAAAAATTGAATAAGTGCTTACTGTATAAGCACTTAAAAAAAAGCTAAAATTTTGGGCTTAAATATAAGCCCTTATTTTTAAAATAAGCACTTATTTGGGCTTATTTCTCAAATACCAATAAGTACTTAATGACTCAAATAAGCACTTATTTGTATATACACTCTTCCCAGATTGAGCCTAGGTTCAGCTTGAAAGGAGTACAAATACAAATATCTAGAGTGCAAAACCTTTTATTGTATATTATTTTGTATGTATTTGCACCATATATATTTGTATTTGTAAGGCTCAGTTTGGAAGGAGTACAAATAAGTATAGTGCAAATACAAATATGTATTGTGCAAATAGAGGTTTAAAAATTGGAAAGAGTACAAATACAAATACATACAAAATACAATATATATATATATATATATATGGATTTCCCTACCTTTTTCTTTCAAACCAAACACAGCCTAAAATAAAATTAAAGGGGTATTTAATTGGTGGTTGATAAACACAAGCCACAATCTCCACAATCTAATGTCCTTTGACATGAGTTTGTGGTTGACCTAATGTTCTTTCACATCATGGTTGATCTAATGTATACTTCACAAACTACATGGTTGTATACCAAAGGCTGGCTAGTTGGTGTGTTAGCTGGTTTGTTCCAGCATTGACACGGAATCAAATCTCACAACCAGCACTTTGGGGTAAAAGGGGTCAAGGGAGCCCCCTCCTTTTAGCCAAAGACCAAATAGCTGATATGGGTGCTCCATAGTTTTAAAAACTAATCCAAAAATGGAACCATTTTGTCCACAGGTTCTCAAGTCAAACAATCTAACCATCTAGCTTGAACCCTAGTCAAATGGTTTTGGGGTCCAAACACAAATTTGAGGCCATGACCATGACTGGTTCTTGGGTCAATCAATCCAACCATCCAACCTGGTCCAATTTTAAAAACCATGGTGCTCAGCATCACTCCCTGCCCAAAAAGTGCACCCCCTACTTTATGCTATTAACATTTTTTTTAATTCCGTATATTATATAATAATTCCCTCATGGAAAAGTTTCATGACCCACAAGCCAAAGAAGCAATATTATGTGGCTAATAGGGGTGGATTCGAGCCAAGCTGAGCTAAATAGCTAGCTATTCTAGCTCGACTCGCCAAGGTAGTACGAGGCTCGAGCTCTGTTCGAGATAGAACCTTGAGCTTGAGCTTGAGCTCGATTTGAGCTAGAACCTTGAGCTTGAGCTTGATTCGAGCTAGAACCTTGAGCTCAAGCTTGGCTTGAGTCAAAAGCTCGTAAGCTCGAGCTTAGTTCGACTCAAGGTCAACTTGAGAATAATGTTTTATAAGAATAAAAAATTATATATAAAAAATATTTTTTATTTGATATTTAAAAAATTAAGAATTATAATAATTAGTTATTATTATATATATAAATAAAAATATTATATATATATAATATTTTTATTATATATAATATTTTCTGTAATTTATTATTATTATTATTATTATTCTTATTATATTTGTATATAGTTATTCAAGTTTGGCTCGTGAGCCTCACGAACTGAGTTTTATTAAGCATTTAGGCTCAAGCTTGACTCGAAACATAATTAAAACCGAATCAAGCTGAACTTTTCATAAACCAAGCTTAAATAACTCGTAAAGAGCTCGGCTCATGGCCATTAGATACATATAAACGTATCTGTTGAATCAAAGATTACATTCACATATAACTAGACAACCATTAGATACATGTAAAGGTATGGTACCTTAAACACTTTAATCACTCAAAATATAAAGTGAATTTAAACAATAATACCGATTGATTGGATATCAATTTCTTAGGTGCCAAGCACCATAGCAGGCAGAACTGACATGCATATGGCTTTTTAAAAGTAAAACCTTGGATAAAACACCCTCTTTGGGTTGAACGTTCAAAAAAAAAATAAAAACTAAAAGCTGACTACTGAACACCGTCAAATATGCCACGTGGTTAAAAAGTAAGTCTTCGCTTTAACAATAATGAGACTCAGTTTTTTAAAACCATATCATGGGTTTTTCAACTACCAAACAAACACCACCTAAGTGGTTGAAACCATATAAACAAAGAAATGGAAATGCCAAAGCATAAAGCTTGAGTAAAGGGACATGACATTTTATGATTTCAAGGTGGAGAATTCAATTGGTCATGCAAGGCGTTGACTGCTTTTATCCCTTGAAAATTTTCATTTAAAAAAAAAATAAATAAATAAGAGA